GAAAAAAAAAATATATTTGCGGGTTGGGTCGGTTAATTATTGAGTTGGTTACTTTAAATGAAACCAACCCAATCCGACCATTAAAATTAATTGAACCGAACCAAACCAAATTTTTGATTCAAACCAACCCAACTCGGTTTGGTTTGATTGGTTTGATTGATTTTTCAATTTTTTTGCCCACGCTACTCAAATCATGAAATATACATATCTTATAAAATTTGCTATTAAGGAGAAAGTAACGTTCTAGTGTAACATAATATAAAATTTTAATGTATATAAATTTGGAGTTCTTCGAGACCAACAAATCATTCTTCAAAATATTAATAGGTATAGAATTGTACATTTTTAGGAATCACATCATTAAATGTTTGTGCTCCATTTAATAAAAGTAATAAATTATATTTTTGAGGAATATCAATATTCATAAAGCCGTGCTATAATGCTATTCAGGAGCAATAATATCATACTGTATTATAATATAAACATTTGCTTATTTAGGAGCATTTGTTAGATAAAAAGATTTAATAGATTAAAAATAAAACTTCACAAATCATGTAAAGCTAATCTTAAAAAATATCATCAAAAGATTCATAATTATAAACTCACTTGATATAAGAAAATAGACATTTAGTGAAAATAATACTTTAATCCGATATATCTAGATAATTATGAGTATTAATTTTTTTTTTGGAATATAAATTTGAAAAATTCCTTTCTTTAAAAATTCACGATCTTTCATCAATCCAAAATTTGTTATTGTTCATTTAGTGGTTTCTCACAAATGAATCGTTGAATTTTGTCCTTAACTATTGGATTTAAAGAACCATAAGTTTTGAGCATGGTATCAAAATTTAATGACGATCGAACCACGAAAAGTTGAGATATTAATGTTTGGTCACAACCGTGCAGGCTGTTCAGATTTTACAAATATTTTATATTGTTGATCTCAAATTTTCTCTCAATTTTGGATTAGCTCTTCCGTGCTGCTATTATGTTATAAACTATATAGAAAGGAAAGAGTAAGAAGAAAGAAAAGTAGATAGTCTAAACTCAAATGTGTATTTTATTATAACGATAACTTCTCTATATATATGGTTTCAGTGGGAGTTCCAATATGAAAAAAATACACTTTTTTAGAGTTAGTAAAATTTATCTAGGGATCTTGTTAAAACTAAATACCTCTAATTTTACAACAATTTATTATTATTTGATACTTTTTCAGTTTTTGTAGCATATATTGAGTTACGTAACAAGTTTAAGTCACGTAATTATCAAAATTATACTTGTATTGCTTATTTTTATTTTTCTTTCTTGGTATTTAATGCATAAAATTTCTCAACAAGCAATATGGCTCATGTTCAATAAGATATAAATCAGATTTTAGTAAATTTTGACAAAAATTGATGAAATACATGATTGAAAAGTCGTCTGCAAGGGTATAATATAATCTCTGTAAATCAAAAGGTAGAGACGAGAAAAATTTATTATACATATAGAGGTTATTAATTTATAGAGGATTAATTCATCCAACCAAGTTGAGACTGAAAATTATGGATATTATTAATTTATAGTACTTAACAACATGGTAATAATAGCGATCATCTTAAATGTTGGACTGATCTAATACATTACACACTAATGTCTGCATTCTTTACGTTGTTTTTTCAATAGGAAAAAAAGAAAAAAAGAAAAAAAAAAAGCATATGAATAGTTGCTGATATATTGCATTAAAATAAGTTCTTAAGCTCCAAAATAAGGACACAAAACTCAGGTTAATGACATGAAATCATCTGTTATTGGGAGGGTATAACTCAACTATTTCATAGGTCAAAAGAGGTATACAAACAAAGAGACACATTGTCATTCATCAACCTACAGTCTAAAATGACTTGTGTGTTATTCTGGAAAGAGATGAACCAATCTCTGCAAATTCACGCAGATAAGATAATCCGATAACTATCTCTAAAACGTCTCATTGAGTAGCCTTTGGAGCTTTCCCTGGAAGGATATTATCCGGAAGAATAAGTTCTGGCGGAGTTTCGCGGACGACGCCGATCATTGAATCATATTCCTCGTCACGATGGGCAAACTTCTTTCGCAGCATCTTCTCCAACTCGATCTCGTCAAAGGGTTTTGCATTTTCAGCAGCATGGACCTTTGCGAGGTTTATATAATTAGTGGCTGACTGGGAGATGAAGGCTATCTCTTCGTCCGTAAGTTTCCTGAGGAACTTGGCCGGATTGCCTCCCCAAACCTGAAATTTGCAAATTCCAATGATTAGATAGTTCTACCACTATTAAAAACATTTAAATTCATATTTGGTCGTTAGTATTGGGTGTGACCAGACAATATAATTAACATTTAACATGATTTTTTAACTTCCTTTTTTCTTCCTTAATAAAGATCAATGCTATCCCATTCTCGCTACCAAACATCCCCTGAGGGGCATTTTGGCATACAGTATTAGATAGGACAAGAAAGTCTCATAGACAACAATCTAACTTGTTTTTCTTGACTGTCCAGCACTGTAGAATCTACCTACCAAACAGCCATAAGATCACAATTACATACAATTGCACTCAAGAAACAACTGATCAAATCAGGTATTCAGATATTTGATAAAGTTCGTAGCAAGGCCCATGGAGTGCTGCCAGCATAAACTCGCTCATCAAATTTTTTCATAAGACAGAAAATTTGATTTCCATTTAGGAAATTTAAAATGCACTACGGCTTCAGCATATTAGTTTCTCGATTTTTGAATTGTGGATTTTTAGAAGGTATACCTCCCCATAAGGGACCCGCGTATTCTGTCTCACAAGGGCTCCAGCAGCAACCATGGCATGTTTTTCTACAACCACTCCATCAAGCAATGTCGCACCCATACCAACAAAGGCCTCATCCTCGATGGTGCAGCCATGTACGACAGCACTATGACCTGCATGTTCAAATCCCAAACCCAATCAACTCTGAAGCTGTTACAATCTAGTATGTGAAAATCAAAATAAAACGCCTGAAAGTCAATTCTGAAACTAATCTATACTACTGGCAGGGCGCTCACCAACAGTGACATTATCTCCAATGATGGTAGGGAGCACCTTCCCACTAAGATTAGATTTTGCCACATGAACAAGGGAATTGTCTTGTATATTAGTTCCAGACCCAATACTGATGTTATTCACATCCCCTGGCAGAAAGGCGTGTTTGATTAAAAATTAACCAATAAAAGAAGAGAGAGAGAGAGAGAGATTGAAATTACAAGTAACGGAAGCTTTCTACATGGAAAATAGAACTCCATATGCAACAAATACTAAACAATCAATTTATCAAACAACTATTTTTTTTATTATTATTATTTATTTTATTGATAGGTAATTTATCAAACAAAATTAGGTAATTGGAAATATTAAATTTGGACTTCACATAGTGTTGTGTGAGTGAATTTTCAACGTCGATGTAGCATATACTTACCCGTGTTTGACAACCATTATTTAAACTCTTTTTTCTACGTACTCATTTTCAACCACACATTCACTCAATAAAATATTCTGCAGTTAAACCCAAAACTTGTTCCTACTTTTTTATCACACACACTCATAAAAACCACTGTTCAAAACATTGTCCCCCCCCCCCCCCCCCCCCCCCAAAAAAAAAAAAAAAAAAAAAAAAAAAAAAACAAAAACGCAAAC